AAAATATGTATCCTAATCAGTATTCCAGAGTCTCTGCGAAAAATCGCTTTTTCGCCGGCCCGTAATTATAAGCCAACTTTATCTCGTCCATCCATATACTCTATTTCAATCATTTTGTGAATAAAAATTGCATTTATTAGCAGAAACAATATATTATACATTTGTAAGAAATTTCATTCTGGCTAGTAACACAGCACTTAATTTTATTCAATCACAGTGGAAAATTTCCAGAGGCTCAAAAATTAACTTTGTTATTACTAAAAATCATTTTTTTCTATTTCTTAACTATAATATTATTCCAATTTTAATGAAACTCAGAAAAAAAGTATTTATGTTCTAAAAGGACTACTCTCTTCCTGATTTTCTACCCATTATTCTTCTTAAAATAAATACTAAAAAAATTTCCAGAGGTTCGAAAATTTATTTTGCTGCAACTAAATCAGTTTTTTTTTCTGTTTCTTAACTGAAATATTATTCCGATTTTAATAAAACTCAGGGAAAAGTATTTATGTTCTAAAAAAAAAAGAACCACTTCTCGATTTTTTACCCAGTATTTTTCTTAAAATAAATACTAAAAAGAAAATTTCCAGAGGCTCGAAAATTTATTTTGCTGCAAATCAGATCAGTTTTTTTTTCTATTTTTTAACTAGAATATTATTTTGATTAATGAAACTTTTAATGAAAAGTATTTATGTTCTAAAAGGATAATTTCGCGATTTTGTACCTATTATTCTTCTCAAGACAAATACTAAGAAAGGCACATGGGCAACATATAGCCCTGGTGTTTCCTATTCGCAGCTTTCTTGGCGTCGCATCTCCCGATGCGCGACACGCTGGAGACTAACGATCGCGCTTCCTGAGAGACTCGCCGGATCGAGCTCGCGGCACGCATTATTCCGGGCGATCTTGTCGCCAGCTCGCTCGCTCGCGTCTCGAGCAAGAAGCCGGGACGCGCTGGACGCGCGCCAAGATTGCGGTGTGTCGTTTCGAAATGGACTTTGCCGCCAAAAACGATCGTTTGTCCGCGAACACGGGAGACACGGGCGGACGCGCAATTAAATCGCCGCGATTTCGCCGAAAGCGCTTCCACTCGCCTCCTGTCTTCTCTCCGCCCCGGGCGAATAGTCGCGCATTCCGTCGCGGACACGAAAATAAAGCAAAACGCCGTCTGCGCGAGTCAGCCGCCACCGCCGCGCGCGAATTAGTCAGCAAGCTCCGTCAGGTGATTTCTGCGAAAATTATTCGTTTGTGAATATTTCGTTATTACTTGTTATAATAGCTGTTTAAACAGCGCGCTCTCACGCTATTCAATTTTTCGGAATCAAGCACCTCTCGAGAGAGCAGCTCTTTCCCTTCCTCCCTTTCTCTTTCACATACATATACACATACTATCTCTCTCTCTCTCTCTCTCTCCCTCTTCCTCTCTCTCTGTCTCTCTCTCGTTTAATAACTGTGAAACGCGGGAGGTTTGTTGAGGACGTGTCCTTGGTGCGATATTACGGACATCCGTTTCGCGAAACTTCAATCTGCAGCGGCAAAGAGGCTGCCACGTCCGGCAGCCGGGACGTTCATTTGCGAGATCTCGTGAAGGCCCTCGAGCGGCGATCCGTTTAGGTCCAGCGCCGACAAATCTTTATCCTGTCGGGACTGCTCCGTTTTATTGGCAGGAAATCCTTTTCGCGCGTCACTTCGAACAAGCGCGGTCCTTCGTCGGTACGTACGTAACGGCGAGTACAGGGGGGAGTTTCGCGTCGAGGTCGCGCATTTCGCATTGCACCAGCGACGAAAAAGACGACTCGCATAAATCTTCTCGCGAAATTCTTCGGAAATTTCAGGCTTCCGCTTCCCTTAATTCTCCCGAAGCGACGTCGCACGCCAGGGTGTCTTGAAAAGAAAATATTGAAAGATATTTTCTCCTAAAAAGAAAATATCGAGGAGTTTTGATAAGTATCGGAAAGGAAATTTTCTACCAAAAGAGAAAGTATCCGATACATATGTGTTATAATATTTTATAGAATAAGATTATATTATAAAATATCTCATATAAGATATACAGGATGATCCACTTAAATCGAACAAATATTTTACTTATTTTTGATGGTACGGAAAAATCATTCAGATGAAAGTGGAAGGGAGACACATTTTGGTCACGTTGTTTTTTTTCTAGGTGGAGGCGCTGAAAAGATATGAGAGTCACCTTTACTTTTTTAAATGGAATTGTGATTTTTTATAAATATAATTCCTTTATTTATTTTATGTTTAAAAATACTAAGAAGTATAATTGTCGAAAAGTCAACTGTTTACAAGATATTTTATACTTTATTCTGACAAAAAGTTTTGTTAAGGAGATGTTCAAAATGATATCCTTTGACTTCAATATATTTAAATCCCATCGACTTTTTTGTTTGGGGAACGTTGAAAAACATTGTTTTCAATGATATACCAACTACACAAGAGAACATGAAAGAACGTACTTTGGAAGCATGTGCGAATATAAATTCAGAAATGATAGAAAATGTAAGAACATCATTTGTGTATCGTATTCGAAAATATATTGAAAAAAAGCGTGGCCAAATGTGACCAAACGTGACCAAAATGTTTCCCCCTCGACACCCTTCCACTTTCATCTGAAATATTTTTCAGTATCATCAAAAATAAACGAAATATTAAAAGTGTTTGATTTAAGTGAATCCTATATAATTAGATCTCTCTCTTTCTTTAATCATTTTCTCTAAGGTGCTCGCTTAAAAGATATTTAATATAGAGTATCTAATTGACGCGAATCACGAATCTATATTTGTCTTTAGTTGATGCAGAAGTCAGTAGATTTTTCAATAAAATCCAAAGTAATCGGTAATACGAAGAAACGTGTTCACATGGATAGTTGCAACACACGATACACGCGATATTTCGTTTCGCCAAGATAGCAAGTGTATTTAAATACGAAAACATAGTGCTGAAAATTTGTATTCCATTAAATCCAGTCAGTGATAAAGAAGAGTGTAACAATTTTCAGTTTGGTAAGTTTCAAGGGAAGTAAGAACCGTGTAATTTTCGTCTATTTGGAACCATGCCGAAAAGAAGAAAAATAGAGCGCGCTGTGATCCTCTCTCTTTCTCTCTATCGATTATACGAAATTTCGCGCGCAGTTGGAAACATTTCGCACGGAAATTTTTCCCAAGTGACACAAGGTCTACTCTCAAAGTGAATAATCACTGATATCAGTTATAATCCCGAGTCGAAATTTTGACTCTGTGTTGAATCTTGAATTCTACACCGCAGTTGGAACTAAGATAACAAAGTAGGTTTAATTCTAATGATATAATTTACTCCTACTTTGACCCTGATGATGAAATTTCTGCTTTCGCTTTCTTTAGCGTCAAAGTAGGTTGTATAATAGTAGGATCTTAGGAAAGTAGGTTCAGTTGCGAACCTCTATTGAAACTTTAGCTCTTAAATAGAATATATGTATTTTATAGAGATATTTAAAAAATTTAATAAACAACGAAACAGAAACGTCAAATAGCATACAAAATATATATTTTATTTGTTGCATATAGTAAATTACATGTAACAACAATATAAACAATTTTTTTTCGATATTTTAATTAATATTTATTATAATTCAGTCAATGCAAATTGACAACTTGAATCTGAAATACAATAATATCGTAATTAATTAGAAATTTATGAATTTTCTTATATTTGTTTCTGTCTGTAAACTTTTTTCTTACCATTAGGAAAAAGGACTATCTCGTTAATATTATTTATTTGCACATCTCTTCTTTAATATTTTTGTTAACTTTCTTTCGCTTCCATACATTCGCTTTTTCAGCGTATATTCACTGCGTTTAATAATGTTTCACTGATTCACTTTAAGAGAATTGCAAGATCTAATGACGGGACCTAAGACCGATATTGCGACGCCGAGCACCATGCGAGAAATTCACCCTCGACCAGTGTGCGCTCGCGAATCCTCGGCAAAGAGAATCGCTCGCCGGACCTTAGTTAGTTAGGGGCTAGCCAGTGCTAGCTGCCGGCATCGAGTCGATATCGAAAATCTGGCACCTGATAATGGTCCGCCGCGGAGCCATTCGTAAACCGATCCTCCCCGCGATAGAGATACTGTATTAGAAAAAAAATTGTAATCCACTTTCCGACCATATGCTACCGTGCCTCCCGAAATTCCCGAACTCTCTCCGGATCAGCCTGTATCGGTCGCAGTTGCAAAAGTAATCAGAACTCGGCCGGGGAAAGCTTCATCCGCGCATCCGAGATTCGGCTTGCTTTTACAGCTGAACCCCAGAAGCGAGACAATGATACCCGGGCATCGCTCGGAGTTATCCGAGGGCGGAGGGTTATCGCTCGCCCGGAGCGCTCGGGCCGGGCCTGAGTCGAGTGTCCGTTTACGCTCGTACACGGCGCGAGGGGTGGAGAAGGGAAGAGAGGGTAGGAGAAGAGCGGAGAGGAGAGGAGAGGAGAAGCCACGTCACGGCGAGATCGTGGCGGAACACGGAACAGGCGTGGGCGACTAAGGGCGCGGTGCGAATCCTTGGTTGCGCGAGGTGTTCCGTTATTCCTCGAGGCGCGACGCGAAATCGCTCCCGCGCGTCCGCCGTTCTTTTTAGCGCTCGTTCGCGAAATGGTCCACGCGGCCGAGCGTGCGTGTCCCACTTCTCTCTTGTCTCAGTGTCTTTCCTCATGGCTCCCTCGCGTCGTTTCCTCTTTATTTCCTCCTCGACCTCCCTTCTGCCGCGCTCCCTCGCCCTCGGTCAGGACGACGGATCGGACGAGTTAGTCGGTCGATCTCTACGTTGTCCCGTAAAAAAAAGCGCACACATCGAGTTAGCCGGGAACGTCCCTCGTCAGTCCCCGCGGCCGTAAGCGCCGTTACGCTGATAGGATCGAGATCCCTTTATCGTGGCCGTTTCTCGCGAACGGCGCGCTCGGACACGGTGTATTCGTCACTTTAATCTCGATATCTCTCCTTCTGCTTCCAGGTAGAATAAAATACTCCGAGAGGGTGTACGACGCGTGTATGGATGCCTTCGACTGTTTGCCGCTCGCTGCGCTTATGAACCAACAGTTCCTCTGCGTGCACGGCGGCTTGTCGCCGGAAATTCACAATTTAGAAGATATTCGCAAAGTAAGTACAGATTCTCGTTTCTGGGGAAAAAGGGCCCAAATAAATTTTCATCATTGTTCCGACACAAAACACACACACATACACAATTAATGGGAACTTTGCAATTCTTTTAATTACATTTATTGAGAGAGCAAATATACTGTATTGAATTATTCGTTAAATTTACATCATGCAGTAATATAAATGTTTTTCTTAATTGCCCTCTGTATTAATGAATTATTGATGGATGATTGTTTTCTTTCTATATTGATACAGCCACAATTTATTAAAAGTTACACTCAGATTTTAATATTTTTTATTATTTTGCATGACACATTTTCAATAAATCTCGATCATTTTTGTCGTATTTCCATTTTGTCATTCTATATGTGATAAATATGAATGCCACATAAATCCCTGATTGAAACCATCACACATTGATTAATAAAGTTATTGTCTAATTTAGATTCGCTTGTCCAGATGTAAATAACTACTTTTTGGGATTTGATAAATATTATTTAGTACTTCTTATCCAGATTAGAATTGGAAATAACAATGACGTCAAAACTATAAGAAAATAATTATAAAAATTCACTTTTCTATCATGATTTGATTTTTTTCTCACAATTTGGACATTACTATAATTTGCTAAGGAATATTTTGTGTATATTTTGTATTTAGTGTGTGTGTGTGTGTGTGTGTGTGTGTGTGTGTGTGTGTGTGTGTGTGTGTGTGTGTGTGTGTGTGTGTGTGTGTGTGTGTGTGTGTGTGTGTGTGTGTGTGTGTGTGTGTGTGTGTGTGTGTGTGTGTGTGTGTGTGTGTGTGTGTGTGTGTGTAAAGAGAAATTGTATGATACAATTGTGTAAATTAATTAAAATTAAATATGTTAAATGTATGTATAAGTACTGAAGTAAGTAGAGTTGAAACGCCATTCTTTCTGGCATAGTCCTATGTTAAGAAAAATTTTTTTAATATAATTAAATTATATATTAGTATAATAATATTTAAAAAATAATTAATTTCAATTTTATAACCATGATTCCTTTTGTACGAAAAAAATAATATATTACATAAAAATCCTTAAGAAATAGTTAAAAACTACAATAAATTAGTAGTTTGAAGTAAAGCTTTGTATTAAACGAAATTCTAAGAAAAAAAATCACTCCTCTCTTGTCTTATAAAGACGCCAAAAAATTCTCTGCGAAAAATTATTAGATCACATAATAAACATAAACACTACTTCAATCGTATGAAGAAATTCTTTCTCTTCTCTACTGAATCGCTTTTATCCATTAAAAAAAATGAAAATATTTATTAAGGTGGCAATTTTCAGAAAGATAGACGCTTTTCAAAGTAAGAAACCTAAGGGCTTTATACTGAGCTTTCTTTCATCGATAAAAGTAGCTCTAAATATGACTGAAAGCTGATGAAAAGGCTTACAAACCATATTTAGGAACACTTTTATCGATAAAAACAAGTTTAGAATAAAAGCTTTAAGCCTGATCTACAATATGCTCTTCGCTTTCTATTTCTTATTCTTCATCTTTTTCTAACTAAAGGCTCAAGATTTTAGTCAGGAAAAGATAAAGAGGAAGAAACAGGAAGCAAAAAGTACATTGTAGATCAAGCTTTAGAGGTTGCGGTTGCTTTGAAAAATTACAGCAATTGTGGCTCCAATACTGCACAATATTATGATATACAGTCAGAAATTCTACACCATGTTGAGGGTCCTCCTTTCCCTAGAGAGTCTAATACTCTATCATTAGTTTCTATAAAAATCCGCCCCTGCACTTGTCCTGCTCTAGAAGGTGACCTCTCGCTTTCTACATGCGCCCCTCGCGTCGGGGTCGAGGTCCTCCGGCGACTTTGCGAAGACGACAACGACGACGACGACGGCGATTTCGTATGAAACGTTCTCTCGCGTTAATACGCGAGATATCGTTGAGTCGCGAATACTTGCACGCCCTGACCAAAAGAGGCGCGGTCGGGTACAATTGTAGCAGCAATTGCCTGCCCCCGCGCCTCCCCGGCGACGCATTAGCCTTGATATTATTCATCGTAATTGTGTCGAGGCCAATCGCTCGATCGGCGGAGTGTCATTGGACTCTCCGCCGGAAGCGAACCAGGGAGCCCGACGTGCTGCCACCTGCTCTATCGATCGTCCACCTACGCCTCTCTCTCTCTCCCCCCTTCCTCCCCCTCTCTTTCTCTTTCTCTCTCTCACCTTCCTGCATTGCGTGTGCACACACAAGCGTGCGTGCACACGCTCACTCGCTTTCCCCCGACGACCGGCCAGTCGCTGCTCCTTCGCACCCTTCCGTTTCTCCGCCGATATATCCTGCCGGGGCGGCGATACTTGCGAATAGCGTTTATTTAAATCGCACTCCGGCCTTTCTCTCTCTCTCTCTCTCTCTCTCTCTCTTTCGAGCACGCCTAGAAAAATCGAGCGGCAATATATCTCCCGCAATGCGCCGCACGCGGGAGAACGAGTGCCCGTTATGCATATCACGGGGATGCGCGGGCAGATTAGAGCCGAGGTGTAACGCGATTGTTGCGACGCGTTACAATGGTAAACGCAGTAAACGGTCCTTCCGTGTCGCACGATCGTTGCGTAGCGCTCCTGCAATCGTGCTCTACTGTTGTGACTTCTAATTAGCGCTGTCAGTATAAACCCGGGTGGTTTATCTTCCTCACTACTTCTCCCTAAGTTCACGGGTATTACTTGGATTATTCAACTAGCACCTGAAGTAACTGAGAGTAGTCGAATAGCCGGAACTAAAAATCACACGTGATACCTAGGAAGGAAGTCTTTAGTACGTAAAATACATATTTTCTTATGTTTCTCGCTTTTTAGGGTTATGACCATTCCATCAATGAAACCATGATGGTTTCATAACCATAAAACGATATATATCCTTTTATCCATTCTTGTAGTTGTATTATTTCAAATTCTGAGTCTCATCAAATTGTTGAGCTATCATCACAATTTTCATTCGTATCATTAGTTCGATATGTTCTCATCAGCAATGAAATTCTGTATTATCAACATATATCTCATTTGCCTTTTGCTCACTTTCATTTCTAATCTTAGTTGTCAACTCTATCACAGAACTTAATATTGTTAAATGCCTTATTTCCTCCAATTTCTCTTTTCTTGCTCTATGCTTTTCGTTCGCTCATTATTCACGCAATATTAAGCTCGTTTCTAACGATATAAATAAAGATTTTTTTACATTAATTCATTATAAGACATTATAACACGCGCGCATTATAAAACTAAATTCATATTACTGATACTCGGAAAGAATCGACCTATATATTGTACGATAAACTGCTTTAGTTACTGAATCCAATTCGTGTCCAATTACTGCGCACTATTTCTACAACTGATGAGAATGCATTAACAGTAGATAATAATTGAGCGGATCTACCCAAACTGCATACATTTCTACCAGGGATATGCATCCTGATTAATAGTTTCGGGATCTCCGCGAGGGGTTTCCACAGTTCTTCCTGTCAGTCCTTAGTTTATAGGCCAACTTGAATTCGTCTGTCCATTTTATTTCTAAATAAACATTGCTTTTATTATCCGAAACAGTATATCATGTAGTTGCAGCAAACTTCATCACAGCTAGTAACATGTCATTTAAGTTTATTGACTCATGATAAAGAATATTAAGGAAATGCTGAAGCTGAAACCAACAGAGTACTGATCTTTTTCTGGAAAATTTACGTCGTATTTCTTGTACATACAGAATTTACGTAAATGTATATTGCTTTGTTTTACTATATTCAGCGAAAAACCTAACGCGTATGTAGAAATTTTTCTGCAAACTTCTCAGATATTTTTAAACTTCTGAATTCAGATGCGAAGGTACAACAAATGTTCTTAAAAATTTTATTTGGAGCATCCACACTTTCGGTATATACAAGCCGCGAAACTTTTGGATTAGGCAAATATTGCACTGACAATTTTTTTTTAGTTTTTATCACATATTGTGCAATATTTCTATTTATTTTTGCACGTACTTTCATTGCGTAAAAGCATTTCTAATTCTGTACAACCAATACGACGTGACTGCAGAAAAATGTCAGTATTCTATCGGTAAAGTTCTCAGCTTCTCAGCATATTCTTACGAAGTTTCGAGACGCTCGACAATGTAGTTGACTGCTCGTAAAGCGGTTTTTTCTATTTTTTAACTGTAATATTATTCGAATTTTAATGAAATTCCGAGAAAAGTACTTACATTCTAAAAGGAACGTTATGCAGTTTCGTTTCTAGTGTTGTTCTCACAATAAAGACATAAATAACACACGTTGCCAACATACTCTTTAGGCCAACTAGACTTTCCTTTCCTACTCATTTGATCTCTATCGGTTTTATATCAGTTAACATTGTTTTTGTTTTGTTTTTTAATCTTTTGTATTACGATATTCTGGTATTCGTATAATTTACATAATAAATAGGTAAAAGTAATAAATAGGTAAACAAGTATTTAAAAAATATCCCAAGAATTGGTTCCTTCCCGAGTTTAAATGTTAAATTTTATTAAATCTTGAATTCTACAACGCAATAGGAGCTAAGTTAGCAAAGTAGGTTTAATTCTAATGATATAATTTACTCTTACTTTAACCCTGATAATGACCGAAACTTCCCTTTTTACTCTCTTTAGCGTCAAAATAAATGTTGAGTGGAATAATGAGGCTGAAAATAGGATCAAATTTTCGGCTCGAGTAGATTAAATAGAATCAAAAGAGATATATGTAAGTTTCAGAGTTATAAAAAAAATTAAAAAATTCACATATTTATTTGCGTACTGTTGCAATTGTATACAGCTGTGTTGTAATTTCTAATTAGAAAGTTGTCTCTCAGTATAAAATGGGCATTTTTAATTTTTATTTTCTGATTAACGTTGTAAATGTAGGGGAGACTGGGTCTAGTTGACCTAATGTTTGTTTATATATTTATCATGGAAGGAACAGTGAAAACAAAATCACAAAATATTCCTTCTAAAATATAG